TTGCTTCAATTGCCCTGGGAGGGGGTCCTCTTCATAAAATATTCACCTGGGCTGATTTCTTCAAGAATTTTCCCTGGGGGCAGCGCCTGTGGCTAAAAGGAGTTGGGTGCCAGCCCCATATGCTGGAGGTGGGGGGTTCAAGCCCAGCCTCTGCCAAAAAAAAAAAAGAATTTTCCCTGCTCTTTCTTCTAGTATTTTTATAGTTTCATGTCTTAAGTTTAAATCTTTAATCCAGTGAGTCTACATTAATTATTGGTGAAAGGTGTGGGTCCAGTTTCAGTCTTCAACAGGTCGCCAGCCATTCACCCAGCACCATTTGTTAAATGGGGAATCTTTTCCCCACTGAATGTTTTTAATTGGCTTGTAAAGATCAAATAACAGTAAGTAGCTGGGTTCATCTGTTGGTTCTCTATTCTATTCTATACATCTACCTCTCTGTTTTTGTGCCAGTACCATGCTATTTTGATTACTATCGATTTATAGTATAGTCTGAGGTCCAGTAGTGTAATTCCTCCTGCTTTGTTTTTAATGTCTGAGTAACGTCTTGGCTGTTCAAGATTTTTTCTGATTCCATATAAAACAAAGTATTATTTTTTTGAGATCTTTAAAGTATGACAGCAGAGCTTTAATAGGGATTGCATTAAAATTGTATGTTGCTTTGAGTAGTAATGGACATTTTAACAATGTTGATTCTTCCGAGCCATGAGCATGGTATGTTTTTCCGTTTGTTAACATCTGCAGCTGTTTCTTTGCTTAGAGTTTCATAGTTCTCTTTATAGAGATCTTTCACATCCTTTGTTAGGTAAACTCCCAAATATTTCATCTTCTTTGGCACTACTATGAACGGAGTAGAGTCCTTGTCTGTTTTTCAGCTTGATTATTGGTATATATATAGGCTACAGATTTATGAGTGTTGATTTTGTAACCTGAGATGCTGCTGTATTCCCTCATCACTTACTTCTAAGAGTTTTGTGGTAGAATCACTGGTGTTTTCCAGATATACAATCATATCATCTGTGAAGAGTGAATGCTTGATCTCTTCTGACCCTAAATGGCAGAGGTCCTCACACTTTTTAAATAGGGGGCCAGTTCACTGTCCCTTTGACTGTTGGAGGGCTGGACTGCAGGCCCTGGGACGAGTCAGCTGCTAAGTGAGACAGGCAGCAGTGGCAAAAACACCCCAGAGGCTGGATAAATGTCCTCCGCAGGCAGCACGTGGCCTGGGGGCCGTAGTTTGAGGTTGATTGCTGTATGATACCCTTGATCACCTTTTCTTGCCTAATTGTGATGGCTAAGACTTCCATTACAATGTTAAAAATCAGTGGGGACAATGGGCAACTTTGCCTGGTTCCTGATCTGAGTGGAAATAATTTCAATTTAACTCCATTCAATACAATATTAGCTGTGGGTTTGCTGTAGATGGCTCCTATCAGTTTAAGAAATATCCCTTCTATACCTG